GAGGAGGAGGAGGAGGAGGAGGAGGAGGAGGAGGAGAAAAGAAGAAGGAGGTGGTGGATGCAGGTGGTTTTCCTACAGACATTTCATGACCCAATTAGGCAATGTTATCAGTGCTAGAAGGGAGGAGGATTGTGGGGAGGAGGAGGAGAGGAGGAGGAGGAGGAGGAGGAGGAGGAGTTGTTGGTGGATGCCAGTGGTTTTCCTACAGACATTTCATGACCCAACTAGTTAACATTATCAGTACTAGAAGGGAGCGGGGGTTTCTCTCTCTTTATATACTAGCGGTTTGCCCTGGTCCGTGTGGGTGCAGTGTGGTTTTTTCCCTCCTTCATCGAGATCCCGTTTTCTGCCCCACTGTTTCTCTGGACTTCACCCTAGCTTATTTGGGTCCAAAAATAACCGAATCAATCCAATCAAAATGGCGTCAAAATAACCGGATCAATCCAATCAAAATGGCGTCCCCACCGGGCCCTCAGTCCAACAGCCCCTCCCCCCCCCCCCCTCCTGAAGGGGCCCCCCCGCAGGAATCGGCTATGCCATCTGTATCATCGCCTTCTACGTGGCGTCCTACTACAACACCATCATGGCCTGGGCGTTGTACTACCTGGCCTCCTCCTTCCGCAGTGAGCTGCCCTGGGTCAGCTGCGACCACGCCTGGAACACCCCCAATTGCATGAGCTACTTCTCCAACCAGAGCATCGCCTGGACGGCCAACTCCTCCTCCCCGGCCGAAGAATTCTATACGTAAGTGCATGTAAGTCGAAAGAAGGGGAAGAGGCCGGAAGGATGGGGGAGGAGGAGTGGACGATGGGCAGAGGGGTGTCAGGGCTCCGACCAACCACTCCCCCCCCATTCAAATCACAAGTCTCTAGCCGCGTCTCTCAGTGAAAAAAATAAAATGATTTATTAGGATTGACCGTGTCGGCGTTACCTAGGTGCAGCCGACTCTAAGACCCATCATTCATTTCCCCCTTGACCCTGGTCTTCTCCCCCCCCCCCCACCGGATGTATATTCTCCAATGGGACTGTTAGTGTTTGGGGACAAACCCCCAAGCAGAGTGCACAGCAGCAGT